AGCCGGAGAGGAGCCGCTGTAAGGGCTGGGTTGGGCGCCAGGCGGGTGCCGGGGCCGCTGCGGACCCCGCGATCCCGCAGCCGGCGACTAGAGCCCACCTCTGCAGAGACAAAGGTTAGAAAAAGAGGGGGTGAGGCTCTGGGAAAGCAGAATGCGGGGGAAAATTCGCCTGGGAAATCAGGAAAAAGGCCGTGAAGGCGAGCGGCGCCTGCACATGACCAGCCGCAGCCAATGACGACCGCAAATAGGTCATAAAAAGGTCTATTACCAAGTTGTAAATTTTCTTCAAACAAAAAGGAATTTACTGCAATTCCTTGCGGATTTTGCACATACAGCTCGCAAGCGCCATGTTTTCCTCTCTATCTTTCCCTGTCTTTTCGCTCCCTTCCTTCCTCTCTCTCCCTTCTTTCCTTTGCTTTCTCGGCCCCTCTCCTTTGCTTGTTTACCTCCCCATTGCTCACTCGCTTGCTCTCGCTCACTCGCTCTCCTTCTCTAGGAATTATTGGGCATTTTGGTTTGCTGGGCTCAGCATCTCTGCGCAGTGAGCCGCTGCGTCGGAAGGAGAGTGGCCCGTGGCTCAGGAGCTGGGCAGGCGATCCCCGGGACTCCCCACAATCCCTCCCCTCTAGTGGCTTCTCCCAACACCCCCCTCCCCGCCAAAAAAAAAAAAAAAAAGCCGGTCCGGAAGGGCAGCCGGGCACTTTCGGTGCTTTGCCCCTGGTCGCCCCACCACCTCCAGCCAGACCCAATGGTCTTGCGCAGAAAAGCTGGGCTCTGCAGGCCCAGAAAGGCACCCCTCCTTCTCCAACATAAACGGGGGTCCCTCCCATTTCCTGGGGTAGTAGAAGAGCTGCCAACCAACTCAAAGGCCGGAAATGGTTTTAGGTGTTTGTCAACCGCCCCACCATACTCTGAGTGCCACCCCCCCAAACACACACACTTTGACTTGATTCCCATAGAAATGTCTTGCCGTGATGGTGCAGCTGAGAGGAGAATCCTTCTTGTTGAAACCCCTCATTTTGGGTTCTCTCAGAGAGCTGTTCTCATCTTTATAAAATCTAATTCCAGCCCCCCCTCCCATGGCTGTCCATGGCCGGCGGGGGGGCGGTGTCAGTGCAACCTTGAAGGGCTCCATTTGTTCAGGAGAAGAGCAGCCCTCCAAATCTAGCCCAGAAAAAATAAATACAATAATTTTTCCTCCAAAGTAGTCACCACCACATCCCCTTTGCGGTTTACCCAGGAGCTGCTCCAGTGAATGCCCCTCCCCCATCCGCATCCCCGAGGAAACCAGCAATGGCCCCCTAGACATCCTAACTTCTGAATCCCTCTGAAAAAGGCAAACCCCAACCTCCCCGTCCACGCAGTCCTTCCTGCTAGTACGTTTATAAAGCTTTGCAGTGAGCATGTGTGCCTATGTTCTCTGCCTCAGACATTCTGGCATCCCGTCAGTACCTGGGCAGCTGCACGCTGGTGCACAGCACCCTCTCCGGCAGGCCATTTGTATTCTAGGAAAACGTTCCCGTGACCTTGGATGTTTTAGATTAGACTTTTGTTGTCATCTGTCAGCAAACATCATATTCTTCCCAGAAATTTCCAATGGGCCCCAACTTTGCTGCAGGGAACCTCAGGAGCACTCAGAGTCCATTAAAATGTTCTCCCTGATCTTTTGTGTACCCTTACATGGTCCAGGACTCAGCGGACACAAGGCAAGCTGAAGACAGGAGCCGGGGTGTGAAATGACAACACCTTCTACATTGAAGCATGAAACAGTATTTTTATTACCAGTTGTTGGGATTCTACCAAGTCCAGAGCACTTCATGTTGGTTGATACACAAGGAACTGAATAAAGAGCTGGTTCAATTCTAATTTTTTGAGGAATAAGCATCATTCTGCCTTATTATCTTTCTCCCTTTTTCTCACACAAAGCTTTATGGCCTCCTTTTCAGCTTGGGGGAAAGAGGACTCGGAGCTGAAAAAGCAGCCATATTTGCAGACTGTTCCCCCTGTGCAGAAGGAAGCAATGTGCCGGGCTTTGTGGGACTTCACAAAATGGCATCCCTGAACCCGCTTTCCTCTAACAGCCACGGAGATGAGCACCGTTCCTTTGTGTTTCTGGTCCTCGCCAGCAGAGCCTAAATCACTCTGAATGCTTGGTGCTTTCATTCAGTGTTCACACTGGAGCGTCCTGGTTTTTTTTGTTTTCCAACCAGACTGCAGTAGTCCAGGGCAGAAAAGCACAGCCTGCGTTTGCAAGCGCTCTCTGAAGGCTTATGCAAATTTCTGCAGCAAAAAAAGTTTGCTTGTTGTTTCATGGTAGATGTTGCCAATTTGAGGCAGTTAAATGGGCTTCTTGTGCCTTCTCTATGCCAGTCTGTCTCCAGGACACACCACGCCAGGTTATGGTAAGATAGAAGGTGCTATGTGTGTGAGAGGGGTCATTCCTCAAGGTCTCTATTCAGAGACAAATATGTGTCCTTTCCCAATTGCAAAACACACACCCCTGTATTTATAGTCAACATTGTTTGCATGTGTGTCATCTGTGTATGTGTATAAATTCATTATTCTCCAATACAGGGGTTACTGTAACTGAGTCCTTTTCTTTCTTTCTTTCTTTCTTTCTTTCTTTTTTTTTTTTTTTTTTTTTTTGTACATGAGCCACACAGTGGAAGGGATGTGGGGCACAAGTACACTTTGACAGCAGTGCAAAATGCTGAGGAAATGGCATTTTTGTCTTCCCTTCCTTGATTTCACACCAACCCACCCACCAGGTCCCTTCACCTGATAAGTCCCACCAAAAACATTGGCTCTCAATGTGGCATTTGGGGGAGCATTCTATGTGAGAAGACAGCAGGCTTTGCAAGGGCAGCTGGAGTTTGGCCAGCGCCCGTCTTTGGACAGTGCTGCCCAAGGCTGTCCCCAGCATGGCCTTGGCATCCTTGCGCTGTGCAGCCCACAGCGGAGCCTCAGAGCCCCAGGCAGCACCCAGAGCAGCACGTTCCCAAAGGCAGCACGTGCTTCTGCAGCTGTCTCCTCTTGTGCAAATGCTTAAGCCCCCAGTTACCCGTGACTTAAAATTGTCTTTCCTGACAAATGTCACAGCCTAGAGTCTTCCATGGGGGGGAAGCCAGGTGCTGCTTTGCCTCTGAACTGGCCAGTGCCAGGGTAACAGCCCGCTACCTTCTTGAGGGGGCAGCTGCTGGCTCCAATCCTAAGGATTACATCTTCTTACCTGTTCAATAAAGACTATTCTAAGAGCCTCTTTAAAAATAAATGCAGCTAGAAAAAGCATAGAGCTCTTCAACACAGACCTAATAAAAATGCTTTCTCTTTTGCAGAGAGAAATGGTTTCTTGCATTTCTCCTCTCTCCTTGCACCTACCCCCACCCTAAAATGGCAGCTGCGAGAGAGCAGCCTCCAGTGGAAAATGGATATCTTGTTAACAGATGCCAACCCCAGCATCAACACTGACTGTGGAATAAGCTCTAGTGTAACCTGGTCGTCCCCCACTGGGCCCACAACTCTAGCCCTTTTCAAAGTTCAAAGCTTTCACAGTATCTTAGCAGGATTATTTAGAGCAAGATGAAGCCACGGCAGCCTATCCAGCCCTCTCCGGAATGACAGCCACCCCCTCCCGACAGCATCACACACACACACACACACACACACACACACACACACACACACACACAGAGCAATGGGCAGTATTACCCTAATCCCATCCCTTATCAAAATAATGCCTCCAGCAAGAGCTAGCTCAGCCCATTGTTCCTGACTGGGGGAAAAGCAACATTTACAGCGTCGCTCACTCGACAACACAGCTTCTAGAAAGACATTCATTTCTTTATTAAGGAACTAGCTTGGTATGAGAGCGGTTGTTTACGCTAGAGGTTGTCGGTGTTGGCGTTCAGGGCTTGGGTTTTCAGGTAAGAGAGACCATCATTTTCCTGAGGAACAGCAGAGGATGTCCCAGCCAACATCTGAGACAGGCACACAGCAAGTTGGGTAACAAAGAGCGTGCAGACCAGCGAAGGAATACAAATAAATATGGCACCTACTCCTAAACAGAATCACAGCAGTGGCTGCCAGAGACGCACAGACTCCAGGCGGATACATGCGCGGTTGGAAAGGGAAGCGAGCTGAGAGAGGAGAGGCACTCCGTTCAGTGGGCTTGCCAGAGTGCAGTTAATGAGTGAAAATGTTACAATTGGTTTTTCAAGTATTCACTCATTTAAAATGATTTATTTGCCATAATTCGCATGGATGATAGAAAAAAAAAAAAAAAAGATTACATAGCAACTTTGACGTTGTCCTGAAACTTTCTGTTGCTGGCCCGACCTTTTCCCAAAGTTTAGAGCAGCTGCAGAGCTGCCCACACGCTCCAGCTACCATGTGCTTTTCAAATATCGGGCCCAGGCTTTTCCCCGAGAGATTGCATTTACAAAACAGTCCAAAAAAACCAAACAAAAACAAAACAAAAAATACTCTTACAAGTAAACAAAAGGCACTGAACCGTTCATTATAAAAGCAGAGAGAAACCATAAATAATAAGTATTAATCAAATAATATAAAGTAAATATTCTGCAGGCATAATTTTTTAAAGAAATTATACTTAACTTACTCACCATAAAGATTTTAAAATGCTCAAGTGCACTTGATTAATAAAGCAATTTATATTCAATTATTTAGTGCTAATCATTAGGAAGTTTACGTTGTTGAGGAAAATCACCAGCTCAGACATTAAAAACTATCATTACAAAAAATATAGCTACAAGGTCAGTATCAAATTACTCTTTCATAGGACAGCTCAAGGACTGCTTCGACGCATACTAGAAACCTAAACACCCACATCCCTTTCAGAGCGCAGTCATCTCAAGAGCAGAGACGTGAAGGTAGCTTGAAACACAGGTCAGGTCCTTTCCAACAAAGAAAATAGGTGGGCTCCACCAGCATATGTTGGCCATTAGTTTTAACAATCTGCGATAAAACTTTAAAGGTAGAAGTTAATTTGTTGGGCCTTCAGCTCTGTCTTCCTCCAGCTCCCGAGCTTCCTTTTTAGGTTCCCCATCCTTCGCCTCCTGTCGGGAAATGGGAAATTTGTCCTTGTTGTTCTCCTTTTTCCATTTCATCCTCCGATTCTGGAACCAGATTTTCACCTGCCTCTCGGTGAGGGCCAGGGCGTGGGAAACCTCAATTCTTCTTTTCCTGGTCAGATAAGGGTTAAAAAGGAATTCCTTCTCCAGCTCCAAGGTTTGGAACCGGCTGTAGGTTTGTCTTCCTCTTCTTCTACCAGGAGCTGCTGATTAAAACAAAAAAAGGGGGAGGCGGGAATTAACTTTTTTTTTTTTTTTGCAAGTGCTCTGGACGTTGCGTGGAGGTTTCTGACACAGGGCTGAGGGGTGAGACACCCGGCGCTCTTTCGCTCGGATACATACACACACACACACACACACACACACACCAAGGGGAAGGGCGAAGGTCTTCACGATTCGTGTTCCCATCATCTTTACATGGTTTCTACTTACAGAAAAAAATGCCTGTATTACTTTATGAATAAGAGCCACTGTGGCTACCCAAGAAGGAAAAGGAGGGGGAGAGGGAGAGGAAAGGGGAGTTTTAAAGCTAGAACGTGAGATGAAAGCAAATTTCTCTCTCCCAGCTTAAAAAAAAAAAAAATGTATCCCAACCTTGTGGTCTCATCCAGGGAAACATTTGAGAAGGAGACGAGCTCTGATTTAAGTGGTCTGGGTCCTCGCCAATATTACCACTGGACGATTTACAGTCAGGATATTGTACCAGCTCGGCCTCTTGCTGGGTCGTAAAAATCGGCTGTCTCTGTAAGTTATCGTATCCGTAAAACTTCGCGGGCTCCCCGTGACAGGCAATCCCGCCGCAGGGGGGAGGCGGCGGAGGCGGAGGCTGCGGGGGGGCGGCCTGGTAGGCAGCGGCCGGGCTGCCCCCGCCGGGCTGGAAGAAGTCCTGGCCGTGGCCGGGGCCGCAGCCCGCAGGCCCGGCGCGCGGCGGGGACGGGTGCGGGTGCGCCTGCGGGGGCGCGTGCGGGAAGCCCACGGCGCTGTTGCCATAGAGCTGCAGGGCGGCGGCGGCGTGGCGGCCGCCGACCTCGGGCGCGAAGTGACAGTCGTAGTAAGTGGGATTGATGGCCTCGCCCGCCGCCGCGGCCGCCGCAGCCGCCGCCGCCGCCTTGTACTTGGAGTACAGCGGGTTCACGAAGTACGAATTCATCCGGGCGGCGGCCGGGGGGGAAGCCCGACAGAGGGCCGCCCCGCGATCGGGGCGCGGGGGGCAGGCACCGGCGCGCGGCTCGGCCCGGGCCCGCACTGCCGCGGGGGCCTCTGGGGCGGCTGTCCGTGCCGCGGAGGGGGCCGCTCGGCCACGTCGCTGCCGCCCGCCCGCGCGCGTCGCCTCTGAAGGCCCGGCAGCCGCGGGGCGCCCCACTACAGGGCGTTCATGCCCAGCTCTGGCGCCCGCCTCCCTGGCGGGTCGCGGGGCCTCGCCCAGCCCCCGCGCGCCACCGCCCGGCCTCTCCCGGCGCGCGCCGGCTCGGCCGCAATATAATCGCCGACGCCCCGGGTGACCTGCCCCAGCGGCCTCCACTGTTTCCTCTCAGGCACCGGGAGGCCCTGAGCGCACCGGGACCGGGGGGCGGGGGGGGGAAACAACAACAACAACAAAACAAAACACACAAGAAAGCCAGAACGTGCGCCCGGCCCACGGGGACACGCCGGGCTCACAGACCCCCGCTCTGCAGGGAACACAGGAACAAGAGCGGACGCGCGGCCGGCTGCCCGGGCCCGCCGCGCCCCCCCGCCGCCCCCGCCCGCCGGCCCGGCATGATGCGCACCCCGCCACCGCGCCGAGCGCGGCTCCCGCGACACGGGCCGAGATAACCGCGCGGAGGGATCCGCCGCCGCGCCCGACGGGACGGCGCACGCCGCGCCGAGATGCCTCCGCCGGCCTTAAAGGGGGCCCATAAAGCCGCACTGCCAAGGGCCCCGGGAGGACGGCCGGGCCCGGGCCGCCGGCGGCGAGGGGCGCGGCAGAACCTTAGACTTGGGGGAGCGGGGCGGGCGGGGAGGCCGTGCCCAGGACACACACGCACACGCGCGCGCGCTGGGACAGCCCGGGCGCAGGGTTTGGCCGTGGCTTTCGCCACGCACGGAAGCCGGGGGGCGGACAGGGCTCTGCGGGCGGCCCGCACCGTGCGTTTGTCGGGAGGTAGCTGTCAGCTAAGTGGGTAGAAGAAAAGGCCGCCGGTGTGGACCACCCCTCCACCCCCCCCGCCAAATCCTGGGCTTATCAAAGCCGTCCCTTTCCAGCCGAGCGGACCTTGTGGAAATGAGCTGTGCGTTTTACCCTTGACGCACTGCATGCCTGGCTGAGGCTCCCAGGTTAATTGATATTTAATGAGAATCATGCCCATGAATATAGTTTCCATCATTTCACCCTTGATAGACGTCAGAAGCAGGCACGGGGGCGGGGGGGAGGCTGGAGAATGTGGCAAGGGGGCTATTAGCATCGCCCAGGGAGTAAACAAGAAGGGGGACGCGGCGGCGGACTGGGCGGGTGGCGTTTCCCCGGGCAGGGACGCGCGGCTCCCGGGTCTCCGGGCGGACCTGGGCAGGCCGTGGCCCGGGGTGGAGCGCGGGGGGCCCTCGTGGAGCCTGGGGGCCGGCGTTCAGGATCGCGCCGGTTCCAGGCGGCGGAGGCCGGCCCCATCTCCTGCGAACCGGTCCTGCAGCCGACCGACCGCCCGAGAGAGCGGGCGCGGGGCCTCAGCCTCGAGTTACCACATCTCCCGAAGTGGCAGAGAAGGCCCGGCGTGGAAAGAAGCCGCCCGAGCGCCTCGGCCAAGGGCGGCTGGGTGACTGGGGCCACTCTCTCCTCAGCTGCCCGGCCGGATCCTCACACAGTTTTCCCTCGTCTCCCGTTTTAGCAAATCCAATAAATACAATGGGTCTGTGTTGCTGCGTGTGTGTGTGTGTGTGTGTGTGTCTGCTCAGTCGCCCGGTCTTTTTGGTGGGGCCTTGTTGGGGCGGGGAAAGGCGCGGAGACCACCCCCCTGTTTTTTCCTTGGAGATAATCTGGGGTCCTGAGGCGTGCCAGGCCTCCGGCCTTGGGTACAGGGACCTGAAAGGCACACCCCGGGCCTGCCGAGGGTGCTCGGGACGCGCAGCTGCAGCGCTGGCCAAGGCGACCCTCCTTGGAGAACGTGCGGCCGCGGCGGACGAGCGCCTTCGGGCACCCCTGGAGACCCCCGTGGGCCGCGGGCGCGCGAGGCCTGCCGAGCTGGGCCCGGCCGCGCTGAGGATGGCTTTGTTTTTGTTTTGTTTTACACGTGAAGAAAAACTAGGTCTAGAAGCCAAGGAAGGAGTAGCATGGTAGGAAGGTGTGTGTCGCAGCCATCTGGACAGGGAACGGCTGCAAATGGTGCCGGTAACGGGATTGTTAGTGAAGCCCGAGGGAGAAAAACACGGGCTGCTGAATTGTCAAGTTCCCGTCTTGTTGTCGCTTTGGTTTTTGTTTTCCTGTCGGTTGCTGCCAGGTGAATCTCCTTTTAAATCTTGAAGGGAACGAACTGATGGTGACAGTTAAAGATTCCTGCTTCAACTTTGCACACAAAAAAAAAGCCCAAGTGAAAACGATGACTGCTTTCCAACAAAGCCTTGAGCTCGCCCTGTGCCTTCCCAGCTCCTTGGTTGTGCGCCTGCTGGGAGCCTTGGCAAATGAGTAGATTTGGGAATGAAATGAGAAATAATTGGGAGGGAGCCCAGATCCCCCAGGACATCACGCTCCTTCTAGAAGTGCAAGGTTCCTAGGGCTGGGGTGAGACACCAATATCTTAAAATTCTTATCTGCACATCCAGGCCTAATTCGGACAACACCACAAAACCAGCATTTCCTCTTGGGACAAAGTAGCTTCTTTATTTAAGTACTCTGTTTAAAGTATTTATCTAAAAAAAGAGAACACCTAACTTCGTGAATAAAAGTCCTACTTTTACACCTTTCAGTTTAGATAGAACTATTAATTTTCTATAACGTTTTATAGTTTCAGCTGTGCTATCATCCAATTTTTTCTGAAACCCTAACTGGATCAGAATTTTATGCCCAATACACACGACTGGAAAATTTAATAGTGGCATTTGTTTATTTTTGGTTACATTTACCCTAATTTGGGATTAAAAAATAAGATTGTAAATATTTTTAATGAAAACCTTCCGCCGCCCCAACGCTAGCTTTACAAGATCAGACAGTGGAGCAATAGCGCTCTCTAGTGGTCAAATGCCAACTCGAGCCCACGGAGTTTAACTTCGCCTTTCCGTGTCAAACCAATTCTAGTCTTGCTATTTAGTTTGACTGAGGCTTGGGCCGCTGACACTAATAATGCTTCATCTCTTTGATTGTCAACAAGTCAAGTGCAGCAAACAGGCTCCTGAATGCCGAGGATATTCTTATTTGTGTTCCCAAGAGCTTCCAGCAGTGTCTTTTCCGAAGCATTCCGCCCTTTTTTTGCCAGACACCAGTAGAGTCTTATTCTGTAATCACCCAGCTGTGCCTTTTAAGTGCAATTATGGGACAGGCTAGATTTAACAAAAATCATAAGTTTTTAAACATCAGCTTCGCAGAGACTGTTTTCTTTTTCTTTTTTTTCCCCAGAAGAGCCTGGCTCTTTGACAACCAGAAAAAAAAAAATTGAAGTCAAACATGGCTTTTTTTTTCTTTTTTAAAGCTGTTATTACTCACATTAAATCACGAAGATGTGCTTTATTAGCTTTGTAATTTTAATACTTTGGACCATTTAGCTGGACAATTTGAGGGTGGATCGAAGTGAAATAAGCAGCTTTTTCTCCATCTCTGAATGGCTCTCTGGAAAGTCCCTGTTTAGCTTGAGCTTGACTTTCTATGAAAAACAAGTAAGCTCTTAAAATTTTGTATCAAAAGTCAAACTCAACTGAATTGAGTAAGCATTTCACTTGATTTTTTAAATAATTGGTTTAGATGTATCCTATGAGCTTAATCTTTTTTCTCATTTTCAAAATTACTTTCTGCCAGTTCAGGTGTAACAACTGCATTCCTTAAAAATGAATCGATGTAATTTTCAGCCAAATATTTTGCCGTTGAGTTTGGAGTGGAAAGACTAGATATTTTTTGTGACAAAGTCACTGAGTAACTTGCATTTTTGTCCCAACGACTACCCTTTTGGGAGACTCTCGCCAGAACCAATGACCCCAAATCACGGATCTTCATCCCCGCGGGTTGACAGCAAGGCTGACATTTTCAAGAACGAGCTAGACTGGCCGCAGGAAGATATTAAGAGGAGCCAGTATTTTTTCCTAGGCTACTTTCAATACCTGGCGGGTTTTAGAGCCATCCGCGTCCCCAGCCCCGGCCCTTCCTCTCCTTGTTTCCAAGGTGCTCACACCTCACCCAGGGGCTCCTTCCACCCTGCGCCTCCTTGATCCTACGCAGTCTTGCTGATATTTTATTGTCCAGATTTTAAGACCCAGTTTTGTCTGCATTTTTCCTTCTCTCTCACAAACACAAACATCAAAATGAGATGGTTTCAAAGCGAAGCGCCTGGCCTGCAGTAAACTCATTACCTCCAGACGTCTGGCCGGCTCGATGGCTTTATGGCACCTTGGCTCTTCCTGTTTTCAAAGAGCCCTAGGTACCGGCTTGGCTGCAGGGGTGGGGGGTCCACAGCACCTTCTGCCGGGTCTGAGCCTTGGCTTTCCCTCTCAGCCCCCTTCGGCTTTTTCCCCACCCCCCAGTTCATCAGGATCCCCAAGATCTCTGCTACAGCCCCCACCTTCCGCCCAACCTAGGCCGCCTGGCGCCACTGCCTCTAGGGCCTGCTCCCGCTGCGCCAGCCGCACCCTCACTTACAATGACCTTCATTTGAGCCCCAGAGTGCGGCCTGCCACGGCAGAGCTGGGGGCTAAACATATGCAGAAGTCCGGTGGGGTGGGGAAGCTGCTGGATGGGGGTGGCCAGGGAGGAGCGACTTGACCCGTTTTTGCTCTGTTAGGGTCACTTGGGGGCCCCAGGCGGGGAGGGGCGGAAGCTCCCAGGCCTGGACCTCCGGGAGCCAGCCAGCCCCTCCGACCTGGGGGAGTTGCCCCAGAATGCAGAGTTGCCCAGTTCCCCCTTGCCTGGAGATGGGGTTGGCGGCTAGGGAGTCACCAGGTGAAACCACAAGCAGAGGGTGTCTGCCCCACACTGCGGGGGCTCGGCTGAGTGCTGAGGCCAGGGTGACGCTGGTTATGGGGCACAGAGTGGTGTTAGAATCAGCCTCAGCCTGCCACCCCAGGGGCTGCTCCCCAGGCCCACACGACCCACAGGACCCCCACAAGGAGCAGCACACAGGCACTACGGGGAGACCCCTGCTTTAGGGCAGGGTCTGGGCAGGGTCTCCCTCAGGGGGTCTCCCTCCAGGGCATTGGAGAGAAGTCTTGCGGGGGGTGACACTTTGCAGAGACAGAGAAAGAAGGCACACAAGGTTCAGGGCCAGTGCATGGGCTCCGTTTGATCAGATCAGCATTTATTGGTAGGAAGCGGTAACATTTACAACTGGTCCTGGGGCAGGAGCCGGTAGGGTCACCACCCGCCACCCACGCAAACCGAGCCCTCCCTCCGGGAGCTTGAGCTGCCTCTCGGGTGAGAACCAAGCGCCCTCCACCCCAGCCCACCCGAGGCCCTGGGTGCCACTCTAGGCCTCACTGGAGGTCTCCGTCAAGGGCCCTCGGGGTCCCTGAGGAAAGCGGGGGTTTTGCCACGGGTGCGCAACCCGGCTGCACTTTTCCTGCCTCGGGGGAGCAGCGGGGACGGCGTGGGCGCTGTCTCCCTGTGCCTACCTCCTCCACGGAACTGGGGCACCATCAGCACCCCGGGTGGGCAGTGTGCAGACATTCAGGGCTATACTACAGCATTTTTTTTTCTTTTTTTCAGAAACATGGGGGTGGGGGAAGAGAATGTACACAGGAGATGGCTCCTCAGACCGGCGTGCACTCACAAAACACAGCATTTCCTAAGGAACCAGCGGAGCTGGGGAGGGAGGCAGGGAGAGACCTCACTGGGGTCAACACAGAAGCGAGCAAATCGAGTCCCCCGAAATATCTCACAGAGACCAACCACACAGTCACCTCTACCTAAAACAAAACTGAACAGAACGTTTGAGTTGCCGGGAGGGTTGCTGGAATTCAAGCACCCACAAAGGAACACAGCCCCGCTTCCTCGAAGCGCTCCCAAGCGGCCCACAGCCGGCCGGCTCAGTCTCCTTTGGGACACTTCTCCTTGCTCATCTTTTTCATTTTCATCCTACGGTTCTGGAACCAGATTTTAACCTGTCTCTCGGTGAGGTTCAGAATCCTGGCCACCTCGTAGCGCCGGTCCCGGGTGAGGTACATGTTGAAAAGGAATTCCTTCTCCAGCTCTAGTGTCTGGTATTTGGTGTAGGGACAGCGCTTTTTCCGGGTGGAGCGAGCGTGGATCCAGTTCGCTGCGGGGTTGTCTACGAAGAGATGGGGGTCGGAGGTGGCGGGGAGAGGCAAGGAGAGGCGACAGGGTGGTGGTGGGGAAGAGAAGTCGTTAAATTAATTTCACCAAGGATGGCCGCTTTTCACAACTTGGGGGGAATTATCATAAAAAACCTAATGCCCGCGTTCTGTTTACCGTACCAGCCGCGCGCCCAGGGTAGGTGGTTATGGCAAGCTTTTTTATGGATGCGTGTTGCTCGCCTAGGCTTGGGTAGGCGTCTAGACGTTTTTATAGGTTAGTAAAACTATCAGTTTTGCACATTCGAGCCTTACAGGTTCCAGCAATAAATCAGGGGGCAATTTCTTTTGCACTTACTTGGGTCAAGTTGCTGCTGCGGCGGCTGCGGCTGCTTCTCCTCCTCCTTCAGCGGGCAGCCCGGGCTCGGGTGGTCGCTGCAAGCCGAGGACTCCTCCGCCGAGCCGCCCACCCCGGGCCCGGTTCCCCCCGCCGCTGCTGCCGCCTTATCCCGCAGGAACGTGTTGCACGAGAACTCGGGGCCGCCGCTCCCCTGGGACTCCCGGGCCGCGGAACACTCAGTCCGTTTGGAAGAGGAGGAGGACGAGGAAGTGGAGGAGGTGGTGGAGGCAGCGGCGGCAGCGGCCGCCGGGGCCGGGGCCGCTCCGGTTTCAGGCTTAATCCCGTAGTGGCGCCCGTTGCCTGGGCCGCCGGGGCCGGGACCAGGGCCGCCGCCGCCTCCGCCACCGCCGCCTCCGCCCGCGCCTCCCGGGAAGCCCGGCAGCGGCTCCATCCAGGAGCGCACGTAGCGGCCGGGCTCGGAGGCGGCGGCGGCCAGGGGTGGCGGGGGAACGTACGGGTGGTAGAGGCCGCTCATCGCCGCCGCCGCCGGGGGCTGGGCGGGCACCGCGGACCACGAGGCGGAGAACACGGCCGATTTGGGGGCAAAACTACACGAGGCGAACTCGGCGGCGGCGGCGGCCGGGCTGTCGGCCACACCTGCAGGCCGGCCCTGCGTGCCTGGCCCCGGCGGCCCGAAGCGCGCCGCGAACACCTCGTCGCCCTCATGGCCTATGAGCGAGTCCACGTAGTAGTTGCTGAGGGTGCCACTGGAGGACATTTTGAGGCGCCGCGCGCTCCCACCCAAGGTTACACTGCCCGCCGCCGAGCCGCTCCCCGCCGGCGCCGGAGCCGCCGACTAGTTCGCAGGCTGCAGCCTCCACCATTGGTCGCGCGGCCCACGTGATCATATTTACCAATACCGGGAGTAAATCAGTCCGCTAAACTGGGGGCTGCTGTGATTTTTTTTTTTTTAAATCATCATCAACATAAGCGCCGCAATTAGAGTCCGCAGGCCCAAGGACCGTGCTCCGGGCTCGGCCTGACCCGGCCCAGCCCGGCCCGCCCTGCGGTGGCTGGGACCACGGGCTCCACGGCGGCCAGAGGAGGCGCTGGGGACTATTTGTTCGCCTCCTCTTGAGGCTCTGGTCCTGCAGTCCCGACCCTGGCGTCGGTTGCCCAAGCTTCCTGGGCCTCGAACCGCGCGTCCAGGGCGCACCGGGCGTCCGGCCAGCGCCGAGCTGGGTGCCGCCGCCGCCCGCAGGAGAACGGGCCTTGAAGGGCGGCCCCCTGGCGCCCAAGGGGAGTCGTTCTCCCCTCACCTCTCTCCCTACCCCAACCCACCCCCTGCCGACACATACCCACCCATCCACCCACCCACACACACTCACAGCTTGTCGTGTTGTTTAAAACAGGTGGAAGACCTCTGTAATGATATTATGCCTTTCAATAAAAATTTTATGAGGTGTATTTGATTATAGATTAATGTGTCCCTAATAAAACGGACGGATGGAGCAGCTCCGAGGGCCCCCTCCCCCTGCCACACTCACACACGCCCGCGCAGCCACACACCCCGACGTGAGCCTAGACACACGCCGCGCGGCCCGAGGGGCGAGCTCCAGGGCCGGGTTCAGCCTGGCGCTGCGGCGGCCCCTGCGGGGGCTTCTGGCATCCCCTAAGGAAGAGCTGGCGGACGGATGAGTCTGCGCGGCAGCCAGGGTGCCTCTTCTTCTCTGGGGGTTGCCGGGAAGACCCTGGAAGAGACCAGGCCACAGGGCAGAACCCAAACGCCAGTGCGGGCCCGCTCCCACCCGCCGCCCCGGCCCGGCCTCCACGAGGAGGGAGGCCGACCGCGTCTCCCAGGGCCGCAGAGTTTCTTGGCGCTCGAGGCCTCCGGAGAGCTGAAAAATCCTACCGAATGGCCCGGGCCCTTGGGTCACTCCCCTCCCAATTTTTTTCCTCCTGCCTCCTTGAGGTGAAAGCCGAGCAGCCTTGAATCTGAGAGAAATGTCCATGGTCACTCCCAAATCCATGGTACAAAGCCTTGGAAGCCCGGCTGGAAGCCGAGACAAAAGCAGTTACTGCGGGCGGAGGCCGTGGTCCTGGCTCCACAAGTTGCCCAGCGCATCCGTGGAGGGCTCCCAGCCCACCTCCAGCCCCGGAAAGGAATGGGGTAAATGGCTACTTAGGGCCTGATTGATTGCCTTTGCCAGTGGCTTTCTGATTTTCTTCCAGAGGGGCAGCCTTTGCCTCTGAGCCATGAGTCCCCTATCAACAACTAATGGCGCTCCCTGCGAAGCTGGCAGAAACGGCCAGATTCAAACGACCCTGATTCTTTGACCCAATCAGCCCAAGTCTGGGGTGAATCTTCTCCAGGGTTGCCTCACCTAGCACTGAAGCGGATCTCTCTGACTCTCTTCCGACCCCCATCTCCAGAAAATGACATCCTCAGAAGGTTCTATAGGAGGATTTGGGAAGATCTTGGTTTTTCGGGGTGAAGTTTACAATCCTGAATAAATATTGAGAGTCCTTGAAGACTCTCAGAGCACCCGTGTGGGCTTGTTCCTAGGAGAAAAGAGGGGAAAAAAAGGGACAGGGTGGAAGTGACAGGATCTGTTGTGTGGACACAACTCGAGGACGCGGCTGCTGGAGCCCCTCTGAATCCAGGCCCGAGCTGGGGCAACGAATTCACTGTCAGGTCTTCCTGCCCAGGCCTCCCCTCCCTTCCCTCTGGCAGGACTAGGGTGGGTCGTCTGGTGGTGAGTTTTCAGAAGCCAACCAGAGCTGACAGCCATCCCCCAAGCTCTAGCTTGTAAGGGATGGAGCGTTGCCCTCCAGGGGGAAGTCTTGTTTCCTTGCAAATTCTCCTTCAGCTACCCTTTCTGTATTTTCTTGCCTCCAGGGTTTCAATCAGATTTTGGAATTAGATGGAGGCAGGATTGACTGGGGGGAATCTTTCCATTTCTTCAAGAAATGTCATGTGGACCCCCAAAAGCTAACGACTGAGCGTAAAACCTTTCCGCAAGGAAAAAGGCAAAGCGCGGTAGAAAGACTCACCCATCCTCTGCTTCTCTGGGGCCGGGGCTCTCCTGTGCTGGGAATAGGGGTGGGGAGGAGGAAAAGGGGGCCAGAATTGGATCCGATGCCATCCTAAGCTGCTGCTTTGTCCTTGCTCCCGGAATGAAGGCCCCGGCAGTTTCCAGGTGGGCAAGACTAGCTTCAACCTAGCCCCTGACGACGATGGCTCGCCAGCCAGAAGTCACCAAAATCCCACTGAAAGCATGAAAAAATAACATCACCAAAACCAAGGAGAAGAAAACACACATGGGGGAGCTGAGAGGAGAAAGCAGCTTGGGGGCACAGCCTTACTTACCAGACTGCAGGCTGCAAAGAAGCTCGCGCCCACTGAGGGTGCAATTCATAATACTATCTACTCTTTCGGGCTGGGAGAAGAGACAGGATACCCTCCCTTTTTTCCCCCCCAATTATGAAAGCTGTACACCCAGGCGGGATTATCACTCTGTTCTCCCCATCACTGCCAAATCCCAGCACCCTAGGCCTCCTCCAGCTTTTCTCTTGCAGCTCCCTTCCTCTGCTCCCTATCACGCCCCGCCTGCCTGTTCCACACAGGCAGTGTCCTCAGAAGAAAATCTCACCAGAGACATTTATTTGCACCACAACATTTCCACATCAGAAAGCAGAGGGAGCGAACTCATTTCCAGAGTTTATTGCATTATACATGCGACCAGAACATGCACAGAAAGGACAGGTTGCTGTTGTACTTCTACCAAACCACAGATGCACAAGGGAAAGGCTACAAGGCGTAAATTGGCAATATTTCATCTCACCAAGGACAACTGCTAAGTTTATTTGTGAAAAGATACATTGTAATGTGCTTTTTTGGGTCCCCCTCCCCCCCAAAGCTTGTGGGTTTTCTTAAAATTTTTAAATATATATATGTAATTTTAAAAGTACTGGATGTATTAAAAATGCCATGAGTTCATGGGCTAACCACACACAGAGATTTTTGTGTTAGGAAAAACATGAATAAGTCACATTGCTGGATAGATGGGTGGAAGAATGAATGGATGGATAGATGGACACTCTACGGTTCCAATAAGTTAAGACCCAAATGAAAATGCGCAGTAATAGTTACCCTGCATTACGATGAAAAAAAATAATAATAAATTACACGTGCTAAGTTTTTTTTAATATATATATATACTCATATAGGGATTACAGATCACTTGCAGCACGAACAGAATGACCCCAAAGTCACATTCTAGCAGGAAAATCAAACCAAACCGAACAAGAAAACAAAGAGGAATGAAGGTTTTGTTTCCGCCTTCCCAGTCCTCCAGCACTGGGCCCTGGAACGCGGTACCCCCTCCCGGATCCTGGCCTCCGGGCGGCCTGGGACCTAAGAAAAGGTGAGGTTGGCGGTCAGTTCTCGGATCCGGTTCTCTCGGCTCATCTTCTTGAGTTTCATTCGGCGGTTTTGAAACCAAATCTTGACCTGCCTGTCGGTGAGGTTAACGCTCTTACTGATCTCTAGGCGGCGCTCGCGGGTGAGGTACATATTGAACAAGAACTCTTTTTCTAATTCCAGCGTTTGGTGCTTAGTGTAAGGGCATCTCTTCTTTCTGCCACTCTTTGCAGTGAGCCAATTGCTGGTTGGAGTATCAGACTTGATTTCCTCTAACAAAATCAAAGGGAGAAGAAGAAAAAAAATGAAGATTTTTTTTTCTGCTGTCTGTTCAAATGTACCCTTGGCCATGACCCTGCTTGACAGCGGGGCTGCTTTGGTAAATGCTGATGTCCCAAGTTACCTGCACTGTGTGGACCCTAGAAGGGATTTGAAATTGATGCTGGATTAGACCTAAATGACATGATCAGATGACATGACATCGCATCAGATCTTTCGTGTGTGTGTGTGTCTCAACTTTCTAACTTACATAAAATTATAATATAATAGCAAACTTTCCAGTTCTCCTTAGTACCATGTTAAGCAGTTAGTCCATGATAGGGCCGGAGTGGAAGAAGCCACAGCCTGAACACAGCTACCAATCCCACGGCTGCCTCCATCCCACCAAGTCTGCTGCAGCTTCCCCCGTTTTTCTGGGCAGCAAGGGGCCCCAAACAGTCAGCCTTATAGATACCCATTCTATTTCAAAAGGTAACCGAGAAGCAAGAACACCTTCTCCGCTCTGTCTGGGCATTGTTGTATCTCCTCCTCCCCAAAGACTGTGTGGAATTCTGCCTTCTTGTGCCCACATAAAAGCATTCCTTCAGACATATATAGCCCCTACCGAGGCCCACCTCTGGGCAGTGGGGAAAAGGTTCAGGGTTCCTTTTCAAGAACTGGAGCCCTGACTCTTTGCCCTAGCCCGGCCCTAAGACTGGTCCTGCAGAGTGGGCAATGCGGTCCCATTCTTCTCCCTCCCGCCTCTGCCCTCTCTGCAGATGGATTGCAAAGCCTGCGGCAATTTCCCCAGACAAAGCCAAGGTTACCTACCCCCGAAAAGGCAGGAAGCCGCCTTCCCCGACCCAAGCACCAACCGGCCCAGCCATCCCTGACCCTTCGCCGCCCCTAAGCTCGCAGGATGCGGGGTGCATACACTTGAACACGAACGCTGTGCCTTGGACCACCTTAAAATGATCACTGGACACAAGGCAAAACTAAGAATGCAAAACTAAGAGGCAGAAAGGAGGCTCTGGGGCCGTGTTTATGAGCCGCAGATCCCCTTTGCTCTTTTGTTGTGTTTCAGGTCCAGCTCAGGAAAAATAAACCCAGCCAGCCTTTCCTCTGTCCGGGCGCCATCAGCGTGGGGCCAGGACTGGCGCGGAGAGCCAGGACAGCGGGGAGAGAAACGGGACGATTCCAGGCTGAGATTGCACCCCTTCTAAAAGCCGACAGGAATAGTACCTGCCAAGTCAGGCGCCCGCCTCGGCTGCCAGGGCTCGGCGCTGGGCACCCCCGGGCGGGCGCTCCCTCTCGGCTGGCTCCCGGGCTGCGCGCCCCCGCTGGGGTGGCAACTCTGCTTATACCGACCTTTGCTTTCCTTCTCCTGCACTTCTGGGCTGGATACGGAGACCTCTCCCAGGCAGCTCCTCTCTTCGGGAAGGCCGCCTTTGGCCTCCGGGCTCTCCACCTGGGAGACTTTGGTGGGCTCCTGGCCGCTGGCGGGCTCGTTCATCTTCTTTTCCATCTGCAGCTGGGCGGCGGAGAGCTGCGGCTTGGCCGCGCCACGAGGGTTGAGCTGGAGCATGACAGTGGAGCTGCCTTCGGGGCTGTTATTGTACTCTTGGGTTTTCCCGGTGGCGTAGGTCTGACTCAGTCTAAAATATCCAGGGACAGGAACCTCAGGGTTCTCAACGGGACAAGACTCGGGGACCAGCCTCTGGTACGAAGGGACCTCGGCAGAAATGAGTTTGTTGCGTTTATCAGAATACATGCAGCAATTGGATTCTTCTTTAATGTTGGTAGTGAAGGAGCAAGTGGGTACTTGCTGTGTAACAGGTTGCTCTATTCGGCAAGATCTGTTCGGGTCTGTCCAACTGTCTACTTGAGGTATATAAGGATGCACATTCATACCCATATTTTGGTGGTTCACTTCTCTTTTGGCCAGAGACGGGAGCAGTCCACAGGTTTGCATTCCATAGGTCCCCATGTCTGCGCTAGGTGGTGGCATGTACATGCTGGCGCTGCTCGAATAAAAACTGTCACTCCTGCAGGCACTGATCAAGGAATCTACTAAAAAAGTATTAGCAGCAGGAGAGCTGTTGGGAAAGGACATTTTGGGGAGGAATTTGAAGAAGAGAGATTGTGTCCTTTGTAGGCTGACATCTCTAGGAAAACATTCCCCGTGTAATTGTGGATGCCTCTGCCGACCACATGACAACCAAGCCAATGAGATTTGAAAATGGCCTTGAGCCGCAGCCTCCTTGCAGGTCACGTGCTCCAGAGCCCGGCCGGCCAGCCGCGTAAGCGTGGACAACAGCGACATCTACTATGCGCCCGCGATAATGCGCGCTGCAGGCAGCGGGCCAGGAGCTCTCCGCCGCCGGCCCGCCCGCCTCCCCGGGGATCCCTCGGCCCGCCAGCCCCACACTTGCCTGCCCCGTCCCGGTAACCCGGGTCCCGCCACCGGAAAGAAAGGCTTGAATCGAGGGGCCTCCGGGAAGTACTCGTGCGGGGAGAGAAGCCGCAGCCCTGTGGCGCCAGCATAAGCAGCAGTCCCTTTACCCACATCCAGGCAGAACGCGCCCCAGAGGGCCAGGTCCTGGGCAGGGGGTGGGGGAACAGGCTGTTATTTTAGTCCCAGGAAGAAAAGGGAAGGTGAGTAGGATTCACGGGGGCCCCGAGACAACTCCACCCGGAGGAGTCAAAGGAAAGATCTCTGGCGCAAAGAGGCGGCCACGGTTGTCCCGGGGAGCCGAGGCGGAAAGGGCCGAGAACCTAAGCTGCTGGCCGGCTCTGGAGCCCAGAGGAGGTGTCCAGCCCCGGCGGGGTCTGCCCCTTCGCTTTCCGCCGCGGCTCCGACCCCCTCGGCGCCCCGGCAGCCCTGGCTTCCCGCAGGAGCCACACCCTGACCTCGGCGCGCCCGGCCGCCGCTGGGAGCTGTGAGCCTTCGGGAGAGAAGCCCTCCACGCCAGTTCCCTACCCACTAAAGCGTCTCTAGGGCTCTCAGCGGGAGAACGAAACCAGGAGTTTCCTTCCCTGCTCATTCTGATAATAGGGAGCAAAGAGGACAGAAGAGTGAAAGGAAACAAATTTTTTGACGGAAAAACTGACTCTCAGACTCAGAAGTTTTGGAAAACTAGACCGAGCAGGAGCGAAAGAAATGCAAAGGTGTCATTTGGTTCTTTTGCAAAGAAAAATGTTTTCCTTTTATGGATTTTGTGAAAGCATTGGTTTCTGACAAGTGCAAGGTACAAAAGGTTGTGGAATTTATTAATACATATTAAGAAGAATCAGGGCGATCAATAAAATTCTCATCTACATTCTTGGGCTACTTGGTAATTTTCTTGCTTCTGAAGGTTTTTAAAGAGTTATACCCGCTGTTGCCACACACGGAAAGATATTTTATTAGCAAATCAATTGAGACTTTGTAAAGGATAAGATTAATAGTTAAGATTTAGCATAATGGCGTTCGCTTTATGAATTATTGAAAATTATACTATTGATTTTTCCCCTTCACTACTAACCAAGAAGGTCAGTTTTTGTTTTAACACAAATCGTCAAATATTAAAAGCTATGCTTTTGTCAGAACTTAGGAGTTTTATAGTTTTAGACATTGGCTAAAATGATTTGACAAGGGTTTGTTGGCGAAGGGGGCGGGGGAGGGAGGTGGTGGGATCTCAGCCCCCTGTTTCCTTTGATGAGGGAAAGTTCTATAAAGAGGATATGGTCTGGGGTTGTGGTCCAGCTCATTAAGGAACCACCACCACCATCACCACCATGGAAACTCAGAGTTTTATGAGAAACTTCAACAACTTCCTCCCTCCTTCTCTGGTTGCAGGCGGGTGAGCTGCCCGCGGAAGCCTCGGCCTCAGGGCAGCAGCGGGAGCTTTAACCTTGATTTCCAAAGGCTCGCTGGGGTGAGGGGCCCAGCCAGGGTGCTGGAGCCGGTTTCCAGTCTTCCAGATTCCCTTTCCCTACAGGTAAAGAAAGGAACACGGCCCCGGGAAACTGACCGTGAACCAGCTCTCTTTCCGGAAAAGCGTTTCAGTTCTCTTTTCACAACTCTCCAACTGGCCTTGGGTTTCAGGCCCAGAGACTGAACTTGTGGCCAAATTGGGTTCCCGCCCCAGTATTCCGAGGGGAAACCAGTAGCTGATCCACTCATTCAAAAACAAAATCCTTTTACAGCAAAGCCTTTGTGCCCCCTCCCCAGAAGGAAGTGCCGCTGGCCTGGTGGATGCAGGGAGCATTATTTTCGGCCTTGGGTCTGCTTCCACTCGTCCCCTCTCGGTGCCCTCGCCCAAACAATAACCCCTTTAAAAAAAAAAAACCTCTGCGGTGGCAATGAGACAGACCTTTTAAACCTTTATGCAGCTGCTCAAATACAACATCATTGTCAGGTTAAAAGCCTGGCGCCTCTAACTGTTCTGGCTGCCGCATCTCATCTCGGCAGAGCCAGAGGTTTAAACATTACCTTTGCACCAGGATGGTTGTTTTTAAGCTTGGGGGTGGGGATTGAGGAAGACAGAAACACACACACACACACACACACCCCAACTCTGACTCTTGGCAGCTGAGATTCTGTTTGACAGCAACAGCCAATGATCAGCACCCCCAAATTTGCTTTCTTGCAGCGCATCACACAGGCATGGTTCTGAGCTGTGGCTAAGCATGCCCAGGGCCGGACAAAGTGCCCGGTGTGGTCTCTGCCGGCAGGCGCCCTAACGCCAGCTTGCTGCTGCAGCACTATGGTCCCCTTTGCCAAGAAGCCACCGGGAACTCGGTTACCCCATTTTCCCTATGCCAAGCAAGACGGACGGGACTGTTCAACCTAATCAGGAATGTTGTGCCCATCAAATGTCCTTTCATTCAAATCTTTCTTTATACTTGAATATAACATCCAGGTGGGGAAACAAGCAATTCCTTTGGGAGCTGGTAGATTTGCAGAAAGCTTGGACCGGCAGGGGCTGTTTTTCCAAATTAGGGGACTTTTCCCATCTCCACTCCCAGTGGATTTGTGTTCAAAGTCACCCCACATTAGATTAGCTATGAAATAAGTTTTTGCTCATAGGAGTGGAGGCAGGGGGAGTGCATAAATATATTTTTGAGCCTATTCCCATAAAATCATACTTTGTGTTTTCAAATTTCTTCCCTCAATGTGACTCCTTCAGGGCAGAAAATGTAAATCTCTTACAGTGATTTTACTATTAAAAACCAACAAACCAAAAATAATACAAGAGAATGACATAGGCTGAGGAGGATGGGAGCTGCAGCTGAAACCCTGAGGCTGAGATGAAGCCAATGGGATGAGAAGGCTATAGCTTTAAAGGCCAGCCTTCATTTTACTTATAAGTCTGTAATGCAGCTGCTGTTTTTGATCATCTTTAGATCAGATGGAGCCGTTACCATTAATAATAAATCAATATCGCACCATAAAGGAGATGAATACCCACATTTGTACCAGGCATCCTTCTCTTGGGCACGTTCTTGGCAGAGAAAAATTAAAGCGGTGACTTTAGCAAGAAGTTAGTGTTTATAACCAAAAAGTGACTCCGTAATTGCAAGCCCCTGTTTCAAGGAAACAAGAGTAGAGGCCTTGGGCCCGGGAGGGCCTGTCGGTTCCGGGATCGGAGACCTGAGCTGCCTCCGGGCTTTGCCACTCCGTGGAGGGTAAGACTAGGTAGGGACTAATGGAAAGCTGCCTTCTCAGGGTGCCCCTTCTACCAAGGAGTAAAGAAAAGCAGGGGCAAATGTGAAGGCTGCCACCAGCGCGCGCGAGAATCGTGGGAGGTGTCGGAGCCGGCCAGCAGCCCAAGAGCCTCTTTCTGTACACACACAAAGACTCCTATTTCCCCGCGTTTCCCCTCCACTTTCCGAGACCTCGGCGCTGCCACAGCATCCACCGCCACACCGCTCCCGAGAGCCCCAGGCTCCGAGCGGTGGCAAGGGAGGCGGCAGGGCTCCAGCTCGCAGAGGTCCTGGTCCCCGCTGCCGGCCCCTGGCAGGCGCGTCTTGGGCGCTGCGGGGCGGAAAGGAACCGCAGACCACGAAAAGCCGCGGTCTACCGGCAGCTACCAGCCAAGGCCAAGGCCCCCCTACCCCCACCCCGCACAATCAGAAACGCCTCCGCTGCCACCGGGGCCGCCTCTTAGGAACACAACGACGTCTGGGGAGGGGGCTCCTATCCCACAGAGGCCGAAGCCCCGGCTAGGTCGTCGCCAAGGTTCCTTCACAACAACAGTTTAACCGGATCCGTGGTTGCCCTGGTAGGGGCCAGGGATGCCCTGGGGAGGTTCTGAGGGCCCCCCATGCCTCCCTGCTCGCTGGCGCCTCGCTGCGGGGCTCAAGGGCGCCCAGCCGCTCCACGAGCAGACACCAGCTCCCAGGGGCGGCCGAGCGCCGGAGCCAGCGCCCTGGGTCCCGCGCATGGAGGACGAGAGACCGCACAGTCGCTGAGACAGGAGCTAATGCTGGTAGCGGCGGGCTCTTTACCATGAACTTCGCGGGGCCCAAAGAGCAGCTATTCCCTTCTACAGCGGCCCAGGTCCTGGACCCCCCTGCTCGCGGACCAGGGCAGAGCCTCTCCCCAAAGTCAAAGGCTCGGCCAGGGCGGGAGGGCAAGCAGCGGGTGAACTGCTTCTGAGAAGTCGGTGACGAAAAGCAGCTCCACACCTCCAGGCGCCAGCGGGCGACAGGGAAGGGTGGCCAGGGTTCTGGCAAAACGCAAAGCCCGTTTGCTTCTAATACATTCCCGTCCCACCAGGCCTCGACACAGAAAGATTTCCCAGGAGAGCTGACTGCCTCCCGTGGCGGCATCCGACCCGAGCATCCCAAACCGCAGTCCTGCCCGCGCCTCGCCGTCGCGCCGCCGAGTTCCCCGCGCGCGCTACACACGGCCCGGAGCTCCTGAGCCCAGAACGGCTACTTCTGCCCCGTCCCGAGGAGCCTGATTTTCTCTGAGACCACACTCAGCTAAGTTGCCCTGATCTGTCTTAAACAAAAGCCTTTTAATCATCCCGGGCGGTCTGAGAGCTCGCAGGACCGACGCGGTTTTAGGGAGCTGGGTAGGGAGGGGGTGGGGTGCTGTTCCTGCCCCCGACATCGCTCTATACATTCAAACCAACACGAAAATTGATTTCCTCTAATTAAATTAGCTCTCGCTGGCCACGACCTATTGCAAAACGCACAGATTTGTCTTTCAA